TATACGTAGTCTGTACAAAACACAGAGCAAAACCAACGTTCAGCTCTCAGGCTTTCGCCAACGACCATACTACGCTGAATACATCGGTTCTCGTCCGATCACCGAAATTAAGCAGCGTCGGGCGCGGTTAGTACTTAGATGGGGGACCGCTTGGGAACACCGCGTGTTGTTGGCTTCGTCACCAACTTTTTGCCTTTTTCGTTTCGATTTTCATATTTTTTCTCTCATTTTTCCTTTTGAATTGCCTTTACTCTTAATTTTGCAAGTGCAGCTCTTTCAGTTGTCCCACAATTATAAATTATTATATCAGAATTTCGTTTATTTTCCATTGATTTCTATGGTACAGTACAAATAATAATCTTGAAAATTGTGAGTACTATTTAAGGTTTGTGTTGAGTGGAATAATACAAGAATCTTTGATCTCATTTCCGACGATTCGGGAGTCCAATGGGAATGTTTTCCACGTACATAAATTCAAATCAGACTCGCAAAAGGTCGTAAGGTCGTTAGGTAGATGGAATCTAATGTATCGTTGGTGGCTTTATATGCTCTAGCGGGGTGAATGTGTATGTGTATGGGCTAACGACTAAGAATAAGCTGTAGAACAAGAACTAGATTACCACATCGTCTATTACTTCTGAGCAGATTCCCTGCTTGCAAGAACTTTGAATAAATAATACAAACTAAAATTGGACTAAACTAACTGCTCGGAACTCCTCGACTTAGCTGAGCGTCAGACTTCGTGGTCCCATGCGAGGCACATTCCGTGGTCCGGCCTGGGCTTTTGGCAGCTCCGCGGACTTGCGAGCCCCATCCTCCTCGTCCTCCTCCCCGAACAGGAGCGCCGCCAGGCTGGTCTCAAACGTGGACTTCTTGCGCTGCGTGGGATTTACGCTTCCTGCGGGCGCCTGGGTGGTTGTTGTGGCCGCGGCCTTCGTTGTTCCGGGTTGGTTGGTGGTGGACGTCGTGCTGGTTGTGGTTGTGGTTGTGGAGGATGAACTGCTGCTAATGGCGGCTGCCGTCGCTGGTTTCGCTGTGCTCGTGGTGACCGCTACCAGAGGCAATGCCTGTGGCTGGTCTTGGTCTCTGTTCTTGGCAGCTTCATGCTCGACCTGCTCCACGTGCTGGTAGCCAGGGGGATATATGGGCTTGAATCCGCCCTGCAGCTGCGGCTGGAAGCTGTCAAGCTCGGGATTCTTCTCCGCTGTCAGTGCGCTGGCTGCGGGAGACTCCTTTCGCTTGGTCTCCTCAGCTGGCTCCACATCGGCTCGGTTGATGTTGTTCTTCTCGTAGATCGACTGCTCCGTGGTGGAGGGCACAATGTTCCAGTTGTTGAGTGTGGGATTGACTGCAGCCGCACCACTGGCTCCACCCTCGCCCAGACTTACGCTGGGATAGAATGGTGCCATGAAGTTCTTCTCGTAGTTCTGGCCACGCAGATCAAAGTCGCTGCTGAGTCCCTCCTCCGTCTGGGTGTCCTGGCGTATCTCCCCAATCACGGGCGTGGCCAGGTTCATGTTGGAGAACTTCTGGTCCTGCTCGACAAGAGCTGATGTACGCCTGAAGGTGCTGGGCTCTGTGGGCGTGTATGCAATGGCAATGGGAGTTTCAGTTCCGGTGCCAAAGGCTCCGTGGATAATGCGGGGAGCAATGAGTACGCCTGGCACGTGGGCCTGCGAATCGGGATTCGAGTGGAGCTCGGAGTACGATGGATCGGGCTTCTCAATTGGATACGGAAACTTCTCCTTGGGCAGCTGGTGGGCCTTGTTCTGCTGCTGCAGCGACTGCGGCTTCTTGTTCTTTAGGATCGGCTCCTGGGGCTGGTCACGAATCACCGAGAATGGAGTGTTCTGGTACTCCGCTGGCGCAGAAGGTGCCTCCCCTTCGATTTGCTGCTTCTCTGAGCCCTTCAAGGGGAACACCACGTACATGCCACTGGGATCCAATGTCTGCTGACTGAGCTTTGAGGCCTCCGCCTCCTGCGGATCATTGTCGGCCGTGACTTGAATCTCTCCAGCTCCAGTATCGTCACCGGGCAGGCTCACCGCTTTCTTCTGGGACTGCAGCATCTGCAGGGTAACAACGGGCTCCAGTTTGGTCTCCTCCACGCCCATGCGATCCTTGCTGGGTGTCACCGGCTGTGGCGGATCGTTGATGACCAAATCCTCCTCCTCGAAGTCTGCCGTCGGCTCCGCATTGATGCTCTGGTAGTGCTCGGAGCCTGCTGAAGGGGCATGTCGCTCTGCCGGATAGCCATCGACAGATCGCTGCGGTCCATTGGCGGGACCTGCAGCATTGGGACGACGGGCGTACATGTGATCCGGGTGGTAGGGCATGTTCTGGCCCCCGTAGGGTGGCAGGCGGTAGACGCGTCTGTTCATATCTCCGCCGACGCCCTGTGGTCCCACTGGATACTCGGAGATGCGGTTCATGGGATATCGCTTCTGCAGCATCTGCTGCTGCTGCTGCTGGTGCTGCTGCTGCTGCAGGGGCTGGCGACGGTGGGCGAAATGGGGCGGCGCAGAGGGATTGTAGGGACGCTTCATGCCCTGCGTGGGCAGGCGGATGTTGCCGGCCTCCTGCTTCAGCGGCGGCGGATGACCGTTGGAGATCTTCGCATTGGGTCGGAACTGGGGCAGAATGTTGGGCAAGTTGTTGGGCCGTGGGCCAGCCTGTGGCTTGCGGTTGAATTCATTGTAGAACGGAGGACGATTGCCGCTGGCGGATGGAGCCTGTGGTCCGGACGAAGTGCTGGGATAGCGTGGCGGTGGCTCCATGTCCCGAGAGGGCTGCTCGCCATGTCCAGGCTGCTGGGCAGGGAATTTCTAGAGGGGAGGAAAACGGGCAAGATTAGCCGGAGGTTCAGGCTTTCAGCGAGAGACTCACCAATTGCTGTTTCTGCTGGCTGAGGTTGACCACTTCGTGCTGCTGGATCTGCACATTGGCGGCGGGCATCTCCTCGTCCTTGACCTTGGGAAAGACGACGGGATTGGAGTTGTGTATCTGCTGCAGGCTCAGCGGCTGTGCATGGCCATTGATGTGGGGTCCAGCGGGCGGACCGGGCACAACAGCCGAAGATGCCACTTCCACGGACTCCTCGGCCAGCACGGGGAAGCGAATGTTGCTGGAGACGAGAAGATCCTTGGTGTCATCTCCATGCAACGCCGGACGTGTGGGTGGTGTAGTCGCCTGAGTAGGCTGGTAAGATGTTGCAGTGTGTTCGGGCTTCGGGGCCGCTGGCTTCTTCGAGGGTCGCAAATTTGAGCCGATCAGTGGCAGCTGCTGGTAGGGGCTGGGCGCCTCTGGCGGTGGCTCCTGGTAAGAACCAGCTGGCAGAGTGGTTCCAACTGCGTTTCCATTCTGATGGAAGTTGGAATTTTGCTGCACATTCGGCATCTGCTGGTAGTTCGTCGGCTCCTGCGGGGCTGTCGCCTTGTACGGCCCCACTGGTCGCTTGATGTTGCCAATGTCCTCGCTGATCACTTGGCCGTACTGCACGCCCGGCGTGTCCTTGGCAAAGAGTGTTTCCTTCTCCACGCTGGGATGTCCCACGCTCACCTGCTGCACCTGGCTGCCCAGCACAAAGGAGGCCGAATGTTGTCCGGGGGAGATGACAACGTTGTTGATTTGGCCCGGCACGGGTCGGTATTGCATCACATTCGGCTGCTGCACCTGATACGAGACGTACTCGTTGCTATAGTTCTCCTGGCTGCCCGATAACACCTTCTGATCGCTGGGATATTGACTCTGTACGGCAGTGGGGGGCACGCCTGGCGTCGTGGGACGTTGAGGTGCTCCGCCTGGCTGTTGCATGGCGAATGGCGCTGGCTTTGAGGGTGCAATCGGTTCTATGAGATTTCCCTGTGCATCGAAGCCTTGATTCTGTTGGTAGTTGTGCGCCACAGCAGACTCTTCCTCGGCCAGGCTGTTGAAAATGTCGCTGAGCGTCATTGGAGGTCTGGGTGGGGGCTGTGGTTGCTGTTGCTGTTGCTGCTGAAGATGTTGCTGATGCAAATGTTGCTGTTGCTGCAGATGTTGCTGTTGATTTTGTTGCTGAAGATGTTGGTGCTGCTGTTGCTGTGACTGCTGCTGCGGATGTTGCTGTTGCTGTTGCTGTTGCTTTTGCTGCTGATGTTGCTGCTGCTGCTGCTGCTGTAAATGTTGCTGCTGCATATATTGCTCCTGCTGCTGTTGTTGCTGCTTTTGCTGCTGCATTTGCTGCTGCTGCTCCTGTTGCTGTAACTTTTGTTGCTGTTGTTGATACTGCAACTCCTGCTGTTGCTGCATTTGCTGCTCCTTCTGCAACTGCTGCTCCTCCGCCTGAGTGTTCTTCTGTCCCAATGTGTGGTACACATCCGCAGGATCCAGATTCGGTATGCCTGTGCCTGGTATGGGGCTGAAGGGCGGCGGTGGCGTGGGACCCTCCGTGAAGACCACAGGTGGACTCGTGCTGGATGTGGTATACATTTTTGTGGTCGTTGTGGGTTCTGTGGGAAAGATGGCTGCCTGGGGTGTGGCATGGTGCGTGGTGAATGCCACATCGCTGCTGCTGGGCGTGGGACGCGGCTGACGCGTTGTTGTTGTCGTTGTGGGACGTCGCTCCTCCTGCTCGTTGGGTGTCCTGCTGGTGGTGCTGGGCAATGTGGGGCTGTACTTCTTGGTGGGCACAAACTTCCTGCGGGTGGTGCTGGTGCGTGGCGCCTGTGTGGTTGTGGATGCAACGTGCAGCGGAATGGGCCGACGGGAGGTGGTCGTGTACTTGGCCGCCGGAACAGTTGTTGTGCTTGTCGTCACGGGAATGGGTCGCCTGGATGGTGGCAAGGTGCCTTTCGTGGTGGTTGCTGCTGCTGTGGTGGTTGTTGCCTTTGTTGTAGTGGTCGTGCTGCTGCTGCTGCTGCTGCTGGGATGCGGATAATAAGCTCCGGCAGTGGGTGTCACAGCTGTGAGCTTTGTCGTGGGCACCGTAAAGTAGTTCGAGCTGTGGTAGCTGGGCGGCGGAGGCGTGACCGGCGCCACCACGGAGGTGGGCTTCTTGTTGGTTATGTAATTCTTGTTGCTGCCCTGATACTTCAGGTTGGCATACGAGCTGGAGACCAGCGGATAGACAAACTTCGAGGACGAGTACTTCACGGGCAGATTGAGAAAGTCGTGTATGTTGGGCGACGATGCGCCACTCAGCACAATCTTCTCATTGGGATCGAGCACCTCGTTGATCTCGGGCTGAATGCCGGCCTGCTTTTTGGCACTAAAGTCCAGCTGCCCCGACACGGGATCGTGCCGTGGATAGTAGGGTTTGCCCTCGTTGAAGATCTGATTGGGCAGCACATAGCTCGTGGAGATGACATCCTCCTCGCCCGAAATATCAGCATTGCGTGCCTCCAATGGAAGCAGCGCCGAAGGTGTCTCTGTCGCGGGTGTGGCTTTAACGCAGCACAAAAGCAGCAGCGCCAGCAGCACCCTGATCTCGAGGGTGGCCGTCATACTGTGGCTGTAAAGAAACAAAATCGTATGGTAAAATCTTTCACTTGCATGTGGGATTGAAGCGAAGACCTTCCGCCCCAGCTGAAGACCACTCTTGATTTCAGAGTGGACCGGCAAGGCCGTGGCTGTCACTTCAAAAGCTACGACTGCAGACCGCTTCCACATTTATGGTGCGAAAATTGCAGCCAGTTGTCAGTTGTAGTTGTAGTTGTTGTTGTAGTTGTTGTTGCTGTGGCAATGCAGGCAGACAATTTGTCAGGCAGGCCAGGCCGTAGGTAGCTCTAATTGAGACATGAGACTGTGGCGACGCTTCTGGGCGAGAAGTGTTTTTGGCCAAAAGCAAAGTACATGCTGCACAGGGAGTACAGCTCCTGCGCATTATGAGTGCAGTTCAAAAATGCTGGACACGGACACAGCACTGTGCAGACACAGTGTCGCTTACAATTAAACCAACTGGCGCACACACCAAATGAGGTGCGGAGTGACTAGTGACTGTTGCTGGGACTGCTTTGATTTTCATGAGCAAACAGCAGCTGCAGCAGCAGCAGCAGCAGCAAAATAAAAAGGAAAAAGTGAAATTTGACCAAATGTGAGCACAGCCAGTTTTTGCAGTGGAGTGGAGTGGAGTGGAAAACCCGTCTGGGAGTTGTTGTCGCTGCTGGTTTATTTCTGGTTGTTGTGGTTGTTATGTCAAACGAGCCAAATGCCAATTGATGGACCTGCAAACGCCGCACACCAGACCCCAACTATTGTCTAATGCTGCTCAATATATTCTGTCTCTCTGCCGCAGCCATAGACACAGGCCCAAAATTGAATGCTTTCGATTCGCTTCATGCTCAATGGCATACAGAAAATTCACTTTCAAAAGCACAGTTCAACTTTCATTCAATCAAAATACAACGATAGTGTCACACAGGCAGACCGAAATAGCCGAACACAACGCTAATTATGACTGACTCAGCACAGACGCAGCCACAGCCAAGCATCAATGTCAAAAAGCAAAAGCCAAGGCAGGAGGGAGCCAATCAATGCCTCATTTTGTACGCAGCATCGACTGTCAATCAAAGCAGTGTAGAAATTTATTCAAAGTGCCTCTGACTTCGCCAAGAATCTCAAATGAAAGTGCATTGGCAATTGGCATTCATTTCCCGCTGTTGTCTCCAAATTGCCATGCTTATTACTCTAGATTTCCACGCAAATTGCACTTGCAATTGCATGTGGCATGTGGCATGTGGCACAGAGCAACCGAAACAACAGCCAGCAATGAGTGGACTAGCCATTTAGCCTGCAACTCGTTTTGCTTTGTGTATTTTGTGTGTGCTTTCAAGCAGCTGCAAGACGAACTCAACTTTCATTTCAATTGTCAATGCGTGTGTCCATACTTTGTGTGTGGTTCTAAGACTCAGACTGTGCCAAGACAAAGTGTTATGCAAATGGCAAGCAATTGGCTCAATTTCCACACAGACGCTGGGCCATAACTCATAAACGGTGGCCAGCGGCAGACGGTGCTTAACTGGGTAATCGGGTCACAATTTAGGAAACTTGTTTACTTTTTCCTTCATCTTTGCCATCTTTTGCATCTTTGCAGCGTGCTTTAATGTACATGCCACACACACGTTCGCTTTTATCAGCATGTTAATAAAAAAGAACAGCAGCCACGGCAGCCACAGAGCGTCCTGTTTATGTAGAATTCCAAATAAAAACCTGTCATCATCGTGTTGGATGGATCGTTAAGTGCGCACGCGCTGAAACCAGCAACGAGAGACTCAAGACACAAATTTCTTGACGGCTTTGGGTAATATTCGAACGTGATTTTCAGTGCACATACTCGTACCTATCGCCTGTCGATTGCCACTTTCCATTGAGCGCTGAAGGAATTCTGTGGGCGGACACCGCACACACAAATTTTCATTTTCATAATTTAAACATTTGGGTCACTGTGCTAATTGCTCGTTATTATTATTCAATATGAGGCACGGCCCAGTCGCTGGTAGAAAGTGCTAACTTAATTAAATTTAAATATTGAAACGAGTTATCAACATCGGACATCGCTTTGCTTTGGCATGTGGTCAATGAACCTGTCGAGTACTGCTGAGTGACCCACTTCCACGCGGATCAGTAGAACCAATCAATTGGTGCTGTTTGGAGCAGATAATTACCATTTACTGGCTACCTTTTACTTTCACATTACACAATTCGCACTGCTCTCTGATTAACTCATTTGACTGGCACTTCCCACAGCGTAACTTTGCGAGGAAAGGAGAGCCTCGAAAAAGTCGCACGTCTATTACGGCGCACCGCAATTAGGTGTAATTTGAAATGGCATCAAAATCATAACCATCAAAAGCGTGGTAAAACAAGCCCAATCCACGACAAAACGAAACACCCATAATCATGAAAATGTTGGTTTAATTCCAGCACGATGACAAAGAGCGAAGTCATTAGACCCTGGGCCAGACTCTGGCGGCTCTCTGATTTATGTAGGCATCTCAAAGGGATGGGGACAGGTGGTGGGAGAGGGGCAGCTACCGCTTTCCTACATTTCTTTCAATGGCATTGCCAGCAGCAGCAGCAGCTGCAACTTTCACTTTTGGCAGCCAAAAATTTCTCGCTCAGCTTCTGAGTGCGGTTTGGCTTTGGTCTCTTTTGCTGTGTGGTTCAATGTGGTGCGGCGCCACACTCACGAGAGAGAGAGAGAGAGGAGAGAATTATTTATGGCTTAACGAATTTATGTCTCAACTTTAACCGCAAGCAAAAGGAAAAAAAGAAGACAGAAAGAAACGCAACGCAACGCAACGCACAACAGCAAAGTAGCCAAACCAGAACGAACGGTAGGACGCAGAATAAAGAAATAATTAAAATGAGTGAAATTTTCGATTGCCCCCCCTTCGTCGGACTTTAAGATGAGGCAACGTGTAATCTGTAAAGTTTGGCTCTGGCTTGTCTGGCTCACGTTTTTCTCTTCTGCTGAATCAGC